CTGTTGATATTGCGCAGGTGTCTCTTTCGGGCCGAGCTGCTGGCGCCTCCCCCTGCGAAACCACCTGCCATTGTATTGATTACTCCCCGTAGGGGAGTTGACCCTGTTTCCTGGCTTACCACGCTTGCACTGCTCCGCCGGCATTTTGCTGAGAGCTAGAGGGTTGGTCTGTGCGAGCTCCTGAACCACGACCTTTGCCTCGTCCTCGTCCACCATAACCTCCTCGGTGACCCTACTGTCGCTGGACATATTGGCCTGCCTAGATGAGCTCTTCAATACCGTCTCGGAGTGTGCGACACTCCTCAGTGGTGTGACCGTGATTCCTGTGGTACCGACAGTGCTTGGATTTGTCGGCACTTTGGGGGTTGTGACCTGGCGGTGGCAGGGTGAGCAGGTTGCTGTTACTGGCCTCCTCTAGGATATGTACTCGGGGTGTGTTCAGGGGAGTATAGAAGTCATATCTCCCCCCTCTGTTTGCCCTAGCTGATTTCTTGAACTGGCTGTCATTGTTGACCTTGATCTTGTCCTTGTGACCTTGTTCTGACTTTATTGGTCCTTTGCCGCGAACCTGGTCACAAAAAGCGGAGTGTTCCTCCATCTAGATGAAGACCGCAGCGCGGGCGCGGAACTCGTCCATGTCGCGAGGAGCCTCACGACATAGGCTGTCGACGAATGGCCCGGGCTTGAGTGCCCTGAGCATGGCATGCAGGGTGACCTCGGGGTTCAGATTTCTGATCTTAACCGAGGTGGCGGCAAATCGCTCTAGAATGCCCGGAGTGGCTCGTCGTCGTTCTGTCTGAGACTGGCCAGGGTGGCTAAAGTGATGTGGTGAGGCCAGCTCGTTGCATATTGCGCCGTGAATCGCCTGACCAGAGTGCTGAAACTGTCGATTGACTCAGCGGGAAGTTGGGTGTATCAATTAAGTGCGGCCCCTTTGAGCGAGGTCGGAAAAACCTACACAAAATAGCATCATTGTTAGTGTAGAGGTTTACCTGTGTCGTATACAGGTCGATGTGCTAATCGGGGTCCGTCGTGCCATCATAGCGATCGAGGTGGAGAGGTTTCCATCCGTGAGGGAGTGGTGTCCCCTTGATGCCATCCACAAAGGGATGACGGCGGAAGGATGCCTGACCCCACGTGACATGAGTAGGGGCCTTGCTAACTTCATGGGCCGACTTGTTCGTTGGTGAATGAGACCGATGCGCGGCAGGTCGCGGAGTCGGTGCCCTAGTCGGAGTCCGAGGTTGGGAGACCGAATGCCCTTCTTCCGCGTGGAGGTTGCTCGCCTGAGGCTGATGCTCAGAGGGGGGATGAGGGAGCTGAGCGCGAATTCGCTCGTTTTTGGCACGTAGTGCCGCTAGGTCAGCTTCATTAGCGGTCCGCATAGCCGCTAGGTCGGTTTCGTGCTTGGCACGCATGTTTCACAGATCGGTGTCGTGTTGTTGTCGCATCTTTTAGACCTGGTCGATCAGTCTCCTCAATGTGGCTTCGTTTTCCATGGTAGTTGTGTGATCTGCATCGTCTGTTGCGCGTCTACTATGGCTTCTGGTGAATACTGAATACCATAAGCGTGGCCGATAAGAGCTTTCTTAATTGGCCCCACGGTGGGCGCCAAATGTTCTTACCGGAGATCGGTGGTAGGGACGATCTGCTGGGTAAGATCGGTGAGCCTCATTCGCTGGTACGCTTGCTGCTCCAAGATGGGGGTGATACCTGCAAAAGAGACTCCGATGCTAAAGTTAGGGTTTGTATGAGTAGATGTCTCATATAAGTAATGCAAGTACCTTTGTGTGGGTGAGGGTTGCGTTGGGCCTTGGGCCTGAGATCAGTTATGATCTAATTAGATAGCGGATCTCGTATGGACCGAGATCTTCTAAAATTAGTTATGATCTGGTTGGATTGCGGATCTCGTCTAGACCGAGATCTCCAAATGCGTGTTCCGAGGTCATTCCACGCTGTGATACCGAGCTCGAGCTCGGCATGGCGGCACGGATAGTACATACACAATAATAATGAGAAACATATTAAAATAACATCATAAAAAATAGAAAAAAGATCACACAAATTTATTTAACGTGCCTACTTCCACAAGGATGTTTATTATTTATTTTAAAATGTGTTACATAAATCTTGAAAATCCTCCCTTCAAGTTTTGTGAGTAAAACTTGGAAATTCCTTCCTCACAAGTTTTATTTTAAATATTTTTTTTATTTTTAAAATAGTAATATAAGGTCAATAAATAGAGATTTTTAAGATGAGAAGAATCACTACTCGCGGCCTGTAGAGGGCGTCAGTGTCTTCATCGTGTTCCTATTTTTTAGCATGTACCTCTTTTATGTTTTGATTGTATATCTTTTTCATCTAATGGTTCCACGTATATTGGACCTACTATATCCTACTTTTTTTTTTTTTTGAGGGGATACTATATCCTACCTTATTAAATAGTGAATTGTTATATCTTTATCTTTATCTTATGTTAGAGTTACACCATAACAATAAATAAGTTTTTTTTATCTATCATGAGCCCGATCGGACTATGAATGATAATCTAACTCACTCAACTTGTGTATTGAAAACTAATCGATCAATCAAAGACCTACAAATGAACATTAATGTTGAAGTGCCATAAACTAATTATATCAGTACCTACCTTAGGTACTAAGTTGACCATAAGCCAATAAGGATACAAATACATACAAAATACCTCCTCCAATGCAACTAGAAAATGTCCTAGTTCAAACTCTTGTAACAATTCATTTAAGACAATGATAATTTATTATAAAATGATAATATAAATTTATTTATACTAAATTAAATGATATATTTAATATTATTTTAAAATAAAAAGCACGAAAAATAATTTCATATAAACCATTTGTCGTACACAGTAACACAAGTTGTTGAAATATTAATTGACATAAATAACTTTACCAAATAAATTGGTAATGATAATTTGTGTGGGCTTAAAACTTTCATCGACTTCTCCCATAGACCATAGTCTCGTACCATCGTCACTAATGGATAAAATCTTCCCTTCAGAGTTGAATTTTGACCGGACTCCATCATGTGTCTTGAAATCCAACTTCAACCACAATTCACAAAATAGATTATGAATATTATTGGAAAGTTTTTGTTTCTTGTTATATATTTTCACTTTTAGAAATAATATTTTTGAAAACATAATAATAACGAGAATAACGCTCTTAAGTAATTTAAAAATAATTTAATTAATAATTAATCCTTAACTAAACTTTCCTTATATTTCATTCGAGTTATATTGATTAAAAACGAAACAACATTGCTGTGAAAGTAAAAGAATTAACAACTAAATAGAGTGCGAAGAAAATTAAAAGAAAAAATGTAAATTATATATATACATATATTATCACTGCATGAAAATTAAGCTCACTCACTCCATTGAGATTTTAAAAGTATTTTATGTTAAGAAATATTTTTATTTCATAAAAAACATAAAAACATATTTATTTTTCGTACGTTCCAAAAATAGACGGCTAAAAATAAATTACTTTCCTTAATTATAAATATACATCATATTTATGAAGAGAGATCAAATAACTCAAAAAGTAATTTTTAGTACTCGATAACTCATAGTATATGTTAAATTTCAACAATCCAATCGTTATATTAAAAGTTCTTAATACATAGATCAAGATTATAATTTTTTTAAAAAAATTAAAATTATATTATATTTTGTTATATAGATTAAAATTAATATATAAAATACTTTTATGATTATCTATTAATTTGAATTAACGAAACAAAATATCAAATAATTTTTAATTTTTTAAAAAATTTATAGACTTAATTTATGCACTAAATTTTTTTAATTTAATAGTTGAATCGTTGAAATTAAATATATACAATAGATTATTGAGTGAGATAATTTTACCAAAAATTACTCTTGGAGTATTTAATATGTAATTTTTTTCCAATCCTAATTAAGTAATTATTTGTCCTATAATTTTATAAAATTATCTATTTTAATCCGATAACAAATAACTACACCATTAAAATTGTATTATTATCTGAGACTTAACATTAAATAAAAATATATAATAATGAATAATTAATAATATTATTAAATATTAATTGTACTTAAATGTTATTAAATATTAGTAACGGTTAATATTATAAATTTAATAGAGAAGTGACTAGAAGTGTATTTTAACAATTATTTTTCATGATTCTTATCATTGGGTTCTCCCGTAATCTACATACATCTCTCTCTTTTTTCTTTTTTAACACACATATATCTCTATTTGATGCATGAGAAAATCCAACTTTATTCATATAATATTTTTTTCATTAATTCTGTATATTCATTTTCTTTTGTAAAAAAACAATATTTCATTTTCTTTTCTGTTTCTTCTGTTCACAAATATCCTCGACTTATGAAAAATATCCAATCGTGTTTTTTTTATATCATAAAAAGTATGATTTTTAATTGAAATATATTGATGTTATAAATGTATTATTTATTATATATAATTAATTACCTTTATAATTACTACTTAAAAGTTACATCCAATAAGGTTTTTAAGAAACAAAAGTAAGAAACTTAATACAGTAACAGTATAAAAAGTTAAAATAAAACACTATTTATTTCAACTAATAATTTAAGTATATTTGTAAACATTAAAATATAAATAAATAAATAAAAAAACACTTTCATTTAACTATAAATTGTCATATATAAAAACTACTTTTAAAGTTATCTCTTGTTCATACTATAAATTTTTTTTTACGGTAATAATAATATATAGAAAGTAGACTTTTATAATTTCGTAATATAATTGGTGACTGACCGATAAAGTTTGTTTGTTTGGAGTGGGACACAATATAGTACACAGTCTTCCCTCACACAGTTTTGCTACGTCTCTTTCCCCCTTCCCCCCACCACGCCCCTAT